AACTCACAAGCTCCAATCCTGCAAGATTTCTCCAGCAGAGCCACTTGCACTCACCCAGAGGAACGTCTGCAGACATGCTGAGTGTGACTGTAGGGGACAGGGGGGTGGCTTTGGTGAAGAAGTTCAGGTACCTCAGGGCAAAGGTCAGCTGGACTGGCTCGTTCATCTCTATTGTGACCTAAAAAAACCCAGGGCACAGCTCAGGAAATGCAGCTGCAGGAGCTCCTTCCAGAGAATGACTCACACAAGTGACTGGGACATCTCAGAGGGCAGTGCTGCTCCCACTGTCCTGGTCAGCACTTGGGGCCCAGGGCAAGGACCTCAAACTGGCCACGATTTGTGGTGTACAATCCACACCCCAGGGGCAGACACAGCTCTGTCCCTGCTCACTGCAGGGGCTCATGGAATTGCAGGGCATTCCTGAGCTGGGAGGGACCCACAAGGACCATCCAGTCATACCCTCAGCCCTGCACAGATCCATCTACAAGAGGATCATCCAAAGCCTCCTGCAGCTCTGGCAGCCTTGGGGCTGTGCCCACTGCCCTGGGGAGCCTGTTCAGTGCCAACCACCCTCTGGGTGCACCAGCAGCCCCCTGAAGATCCCTTCCAACCCTAACCACCCCAACCCCTCACGCTCATCCAGAGCAGCTCCGTGCACTCACAGCCTCCTCCTCCTTGTCCACGTTGCTGGTCTGGGACAGTTTGATGTTGCCGTTGCCCAGCTCTCCGTTGGCAGAGAACTTGACGCCGTCCTTGGCGCAGGAGATGACGACGGCGTCGCCGATGTGGCTCAGGTCGCGGCAGATTCGCGCGAACTCCGCCGACGGCATCTTCACCACGCAGCTGTACTCCTGCTCCTGGGGGCACAGCCAGCGCTGCCCTGCCAGCCCCACCGCCCTCACACAGCTACCTTCACTCACCCTCCAGCCCTGGCACGGGTTTTAAACACCTTCAGAAATCAGCCACTCGGGCCCCCACTTACTGGAATGCCGAGCTGCTCCACGTCCAGATCCATCAGCTTCATCTCGTAATCCGAGACCTTCTCCTGATCTAAAGGAGCAAAGCACAGTGTGGCCAAGTGTTCCTGAGTAGTTACCAACCCGAATTTAACTTCTGTTATCCATCAGCTTCACTTCATGATCAGAAACCTCCTCCTGACCCAAACGAACAAGGTGCAGCGTGGCCAAGTGTTACCAACCCGAATTTAACTTCTGCCACTCTTCCCCCCACCCCAAAGCCACCTCAGTGATGACAGTGAGATCCACCTCGTTTCCTTGAGGCTGGAAGTCTGGAAGTGCCTCGAACAGCCTCTTACAGGCTGAAAAAAGGACAGGTAAGGGCACCTGTGCCTGGCCTAGACAAGAGCCTTCCCCTTACAAAGGAAGTATTGGCCAAGTTTAGATCTCCAGACTCCTCAAGAGTTCGAGTATAAGGTGTCCCCTCCCCTTTCCTTCCCTCTGTGTGGTTCAGGAACCACATGTGGGGTTTGTGAGGCTGCCTGAGAACATCCCACCAGCAAAGGAGCTCCCAAACTCAACACTCACTCGGTGCCTCGAACACCAGGGCCAAGGTGTCTGCGTTGTCCTCCGCCCGCAGGGTGATGATGTCCTCATTCCCTGCACACTTCAGGATTTTGGACATGCTGGAGGGGGAAGAAAAGGCAGGTGACCCTCAGGATTGGAAGCTGTGATGTTGCAGTTGTCAGAATAAAATACTCCAATCCGTGTTTTCAGCTCTGGATGATGTTGGGACTGTCACTCCCAAATTGCTGATTGGGATAATTCCCGGATGGAATTTTCAAGATCCATGTGATGGTTAGATTTGTGTGAACTTTAATAAAAGCAGTGAACTCTTTTTAGGGATCAACCTTTTGGATGCTGCACTCCCAGACAATCTCAGCTATCAGTGAGAGCTCTCCTTTTAACCCTGTTGGAAAAACAGGGGGGTGTAGGGACTGTATTCCACATCAAATCCCGGTGTTATTCAGCCTTCAGAGTCCCAAAGTGCCTCTTGCCCCAAGAGCAGCACAGGGCTGAGCATCCTGCAGAGGACAGGAGGACATTGCTGTCCCACAGCTGGACACAGTGACAGAGCTGATTCACAGAGTGGGTGAGGTTGGGAGGGACCACAGAGGGTCACTGGTCCCACCTGCAGGCTGAGCAGCCCCAGCTCCCTCAGCCTTTCCTCTCAGGAGAGAAGCTCCATGTCCGTGGACACAGCACTGCAGGGCTGAGCAGAGGGGCAGGATCGCTCCCTGCCCTGCTCCCAGTGCTCCTCCTGACGCCCCCCGCCCCCAGGATTCTGTAAGGACCAAAAAAGGGCAACGAGGCTGGGGAAGGGGCTGGAGCACAAGTGCTGGGAGGAGCAGCTGAGGGAGCTGGGGGGGCTCAGCCTGGACAGGAGGAGGCTCAGGGGGGACCTTCTCACTCTCTGCAACCCCCTGACAGGAGGGGGAGCCGGGGGGGGTCGGGCTCTGCTCCCAGGAACCAGCAGCAGGACAAGAGGGCACAGCCTT